ATTTTAAGGAATGTAGAAACTCGACTGCAGAGAAATTATTTTAAAGAATGTTAGAACTCGACTACACTGAGATTATTTTAAAGAACGTAGGAACTCTAGTACACTTGAATTGTTTTAAATAATGAAGAAACTTGACTGCACGGAAATTATTTCAAAGAATGTAGAAACTCGACTACAATAAAATAGCTTTATAGAATATAGGAAATTTTCACTGGATATTGAAATTTTCTGTCTAGATTAAGTTTTTCATTGGAGTTTTTAATTCCATATATTGTGTATTTTATTATTCCACCATCTGCAGTTATGTTCAAGTAACTAAAACCCTTACTTTTCAAGTATAATTTTTATTGAATACTTTCTCATAAAAATAATATTATTTACATTCTTGAAAACATAAAAATATAACAAATTATCAATATTTGGTCAAATTTTGATACACTGTAGCATTGATAATAAAATAATAAAAATGTATGCAAAATTATGTTATTTAGATGGATTTCATATAATTTATATTAAACTTATATTTTTAAATCTACTTGGCTAATTTTGTCATTAAAATAAACTAATACTTTGTCAATTTTGAGTTCTTTTTTACATCAAGTACAATAAATTCTACGTTAAAAGATTACAAAATCATTCAATGATGTAAGAGATAAAGATACCTTTTTTTTAAAAAAGTGCTGTTTATGATGTGAAATAAACTTTCAATTAATATGTTAAAATTACATTGTCTATTTGTCTTATTGTCTATTTGTTAAGCGAAAGCTTTTAGGAATGCGATTGTCAGAAGTTGATATAACATTTTAAACGCAATAATGAAAAATTAATATATAACGTCTTTGTCTAAAACGGTATAATTTCAGATAAATTTAAGCTTTATGGGAACAACATTCATCAAATAATCTTTTCATTGGCTTAGACCATGAATGCTATATTATTTTCTTTTCGAAAATCATACACAATTAAATTTTCGTAAGAAAATTGTGGAGAATAATATTGATATTTATTTTAAATTTCTTGAGTTTTTATTTACAGTTTACAAACAATGTTGAAAAAGTTTCGAATGTTAAATGTATAAAGTCAGATATTCAATTTAAGTAGTGAGCAGAAAGGAAATTTACATTAGTAAATTAATATTTCGATACATTAGGCACCATACATGAATAGTTTTGAATTTTTGTTTCAAATCATTTGCTTTTCATTAAAAATCTTTAAAAATAAATTTTCTTATTTTCCTTATATACTTATAATTTTTTTTCAAATATTGATTCTTATAAGGGAAAAATGTCTCCCTCAAATTTATTTTCAGCCACAGTGAAATAATTCAAGTTTATTCAGTTACTCTCAGTATTCAATAACATGTCGTAATACCAAACAAAAATCACAATATGAATAAAATTCAGCAGGTGCCTGCTTAAATTATTCTCGGGTCTTTTGTTTGTTTGAATAAATGAATATTTTTGTGTGGTAAATTATTATATTTCATCAAAACAGATATAATATTGCTGTTTGTAAGCGTAAAGTTTTAGTTCAGGAGATATTGCAAATCATTGTTCTTGGCTGGCTGGACGCCTTGTTATTGATAACCTGATATTTTCTAACTTCATGTTATTGTAATTGAACTCGAAAACTATTTTCGAGTATTCATTTAATTCCTGAAATTCATGTTGAACACAAATTAATTTAAATAATAATAGAAAAACAAAAGTAGATGCGCCCTATATATATNAAGCAGTAGAGGAAGATAAAAGGATAACTTATATTTTTTTAATCATAAGTTATCCTTTACCATATCAAGACAGAGGTAGTATACATAATTAAATTTCTAGTATAACCAAAGTAATTTTTGTACGCATAAAAAACGTATAAAAGCAAAGCAGGAGATGAAGATAAAAGGATAACTTATATATATATATATCAGCTTGAAGTATCAAAACTGGATATTGAAATTCTATGTGAAATAAATTATTATAATTTGAGCAAAGACTGTTATAAGTTGCTGCTAAATTTTTTAATGAGTTTTTACTCTGAGTAAAACGTATTAATTATTTTCCGATCAATTTTTAAAAAAAAAATAATAAATTTAATACTCTTCTTAACTGAAAATATTTATCGTAATCTTATGTATTTATTTTAATATTCTATGTAAGACTTAAAAATATTTATCTTACTCTCACCATTAGCATTTTACTTATTATCACTAAATGAACCAGAATGATAGAATAATTTTTTGTAGAACTTTGCCTAATATTAATTAGTAAGCATGACATTTATAAGTAAAGAACTGACCTGTGGGAAACATGTTTTTTATCTATAGTTTTTATTCCATTTTGTTTTAAGTTAATTGAAATTGACATCACAACAGCATGTTTTTAAGCAAATTAGTCTACGTACCATTCAAGATATCGTAATTTCGATATTATTATTTTTGAATCCAACAAAATGTTAAACATATTTATTTTACAGAAATTTACCTAAAACTAATTAGAGAGCCACTATTTCTGCAGAGCGCTTGTAAGTGAAAATTGATTTGCGGTAAAGTTATCTTAAAGCAATCAGTGGCGGAGTCTAAATTATGGGCTGTTTGTTTTCTCCGAAAAACAGATTTCGAAGTAAAATTATTTTGGCATTAAAAGGAGATAAACCAGACGAAATTTTATTAAAATTGCTAAAAATATGTGTTAAATTTATAGATATTTCAAACATTAATCAAAGAACTCATATGATTTCATGAATTATTTTTTCAGAAACTGTTTGATTTTTTTGTTAATAATTAATATAGTAAGTGTTCATCACTAAAAATTAACTTAATGTAAAAACAGTTTTTAAATTAAAATTGGGAGATGTGTTTAGATAATATAGGCACTTATTTTCTTTATTTTCTAAGAGATATTAAAACATGGAAGCCATAAAATGATGTTAACTATTTGAAAATTTTTGGAAATACGTACTTAGTTCAAGTGAATTATAAAAAACATTAATAATATTAGTCAGGTTTCTTTTTCTATTTTCTAGACTTTTCCATATATTGTTTCTAAAAATTTTATAAATTTTTTTACAGCTAGTTATTACAAAGCATTGTCCATTAAAATTTTTATATCAAAATAAACTAGCAAATTTTGTCTAACATAGTAATTCAAAAGTAAATATAATATGTTAAGAGAGTTGGTTTTTATTTGAATTTTTTTACAAAATCAGCAAAATAAAAATTTTAAGAAATAGTTTTAAATAGGTGGAAAAACTAAAGAAGATTTTTTTTGTAATTTAAAATTCTAAAATATCTAAAATAAATATGTTGTTTTAATTATTTTTGGCATAATTTTTAATTGCTAAATATTTTAGAGAAAAAAAAGCATAAAAGCTGCAAAAGCATTATATATAACGAAAATATCTTTCTAAAGTAGTATAAACTATATTTTATTTTGTAAGCAAACAAAGTATAATTCTTTTTTATTTTCGTTCTGAATATTTTTGCATTATATATCAAAAAAAGTTTCTAAATTTTTGGTTTACTTAAATATTACCATTTTAAATACTTTTTTTAAACTTTTTTTCTAAAGCCTATTGTTGATAGGCAGTAAAAAGACATGCATAAAATTATTTTTATTTTCTGTACTTCTTTTTCCTTGAAATGTTAGTCTAAGAAAGGTAAACGCTAAAACTAATGAGAAAACTTAAAATGAATTAGTTATTTAGAGTTCTAGATTATAATAAGAAATTTATAACTAAGGTGTCATGAGTAATTTGTTGTATTTAAAATGTATCAATTATTTCTTTTAAAAATTTTAAGCAAACGTTATTCTAATCAGTGAAATAGTTATGTATTATGTAAAAAATATTTTAACAATAACAAGTAATAAAAATAAATAAGAAAAAAATAAATAAGTAAGAAGTGCAAAGGTATGAAACGATTTTGGTGAAAGAGAAAAAATTAAATAAATGGTTATGATAAATATAATGTAACCAAAGTAATTTTTGTATATATAAAAACATATATAAACAAAGAAAATGAAGATAAAAGTATACCTTATAAGTTTTTAACATTATTTTACATTGATGGGAGTAATAATGCTTCACAAGCCTTATTGAATTGCTAACAAAGTTAAAAATTCCACAGCAAAATAAAAACATTAAGCATTCTGAAAATTTCACTTGTTTTCGCCATATCAAGACAGAAGTATTGTGCAAGTACAACTGAAAATGTTTATTTTAAAAATATAAATGAGTAAAAATGTGCTTGACAAGCAGAAACAGATTATAAAATTGGAACATTTCGCTGCACGCATTTTTTATTATAAGAAAGACATTTCAAAATGTAAGAAATTCAAAATATTCACATTTCAAAATATAAGAAATTCAAAATATCTTCATTTCAAAATACTCACATTTCAAAATATCAGAAAGTATATTTTGAAAAGTTAATTTTTTCGTTCGTAACATCAAGACAGGAATATCTTGCCTGTATAATGGAAAATGTGTATTTCAGTTATACTAGCATATTAAGTAAATTTAACATTCATTTCTCAAGTGTTGAAAATTTAGAATTCAACTTGATTTTATAAAAGTTCTTTGTATTCCGTAGATGAATTACCGACAAGTATTAAATCAATTTTAAATAATTATTCTGATTTATGATATAACAGAGGAAATACGTGCTTACAAAATCATTTTTTATTTAATTCCAGTTCCCAATCAAGTGAGGGTCACAAAATATCGGAAAGTATATTTTGAAAAGTTAATTTTTTCATTCGTAGCATCAATACAGGAATATCTTGTGTAATGGAAAATATGTATTTCAGTTACACCATCATATTAAGTAAATTTAACATTCATTTCTCAAGTATTGAAAATTTAGAATTCAACTTGATTTTACAGAAGTTCTTTGTATTCCGTAAGTAAATTACCGACGAGTATTAAATCAATTTTAAATAATTATTCTGATTTATGACATATTAGAGGAAATGCGGGCTGACAAAATCATTTTTTTTATTTAATTCCAGTTCCCATTCAAGTGAGGGTCAGTCCATCACAGCAAACAATCTCAGTTGGCCAAGCTACACATTTCAATTGCACTGTTTCCGGCTTCCCTCTCTATGGAGTTACTTGGACCAAGAATTTGCGACCAGTGGTAACCAATGAGAGAGTGAGAGTATTGGGAACAGATGTCTTGTCCATCAACTCTGTGATACGTGACGACAGAGGTGTCTATCAATGCTTCGCCCATAACCACTTTGATTCTGCTCAAGCATCTGGTGCTCTGTTACTAGGAGGTGATTAATTTAAAATGTTTAAAAAAAAAAGCTAAACGAGTTATTTGGCAATTGTCAAAAATGTTATTCTCATCATTTTGTAATACTTTGAAGACTATGTCATCGTATAAAAAATATAGACTGTAAAAAATATTTCATTTTTGTAACTTAATCAAATTTCTAGTATAGCCAAAGTAATTTTTGTATGCATAAAAAAGGCATATAAGCAAAGCAGAAGATGAAGATAAAAGGATAACTTATATTTCTTTAATCATAAGTTATCCTTTACCATATCAAGACAGAGGTAATATACATAATTAAATTTCTAGTACAACCAAAGTATTTTTTGTATGCATAAAAAACGTATATAAGCAAAGTAGGAGATGGAGATAAAATGATAACTTATATTTTTTTAATCGTAAGTTATTCTTTACCATATCAAGACTGAGGTAATATACATAATTAAATTTCTAGTATAACCAAAGTATTATTTGTATGTATAAAAAACGTATATAAACAAAGCAGGAGATGAATGTAAAAGGATAACTTATATTTTTTTAATAAGTTATCCTTTACCTTATCAAGACAGAGGTAATATACATAATTAAAATGACTAATGTGGTCTATATTTTACCAGTACTCTTTATAATTACTAAGAAAATAACATGATAAAATGGAGAGAATGATGCTTACTTATATGCAATTTGTCCTAGTACTTAAATTTAAATAAGAAAATAAATGTCTGTTGAATATTATACCTCATACAATATATTGAAGAACACGGGTATTTAAGTAATTAAGAATAGCATACTAAAGTTACTAAAACCATGAAAAAAATATATAAAATAAATAGTGTTTGATATAGTATTAATTATTTTTCGATGATTGTATATAATACTGACAGGTGCTGGAAAAAATTGCAATTTAAAGTATTAAACATATAAGTGGTATTTAGAAGAAGAAAAATATTTTGTTGATATGTTGAAATTTTTGTTATATTTTGCTGAAACGAAACGGAACATTTTTTAAACTTAAAATACTAAAATTTACCAATTCATCGTTTGTTTAAATTATCAACTAGTAAATGTTTTTTTCAAATTAAAATTATTAAATCTTACTGAAAATATTTTTTTTTCAAAATTAAATCACTAACAAAATTCAAACTTACTTTTGACTTGTTCGATGTTGTCAAAAAGACAGCTTATATCTTAAAAGTAAATCGATAAAAATTGTAGCTGAATCCTTACATTCACATCAAAATAAAATCTTAAATTTTAAACACAATATTGAAAACATGATCTTTTTGTGCACTTTTGTTTTATTGCTAAATAGAAAAAAATTTAAAAAATAGAATATTAAAAAATAGAAACGTAAATAAGTCGAAAAAAAGAGACGCAATGGTCCTTAACGCTTGTGAGAAAAGCTAAATGAAATAATTCCAAGTTTGTATGGAATTTTAAGCAGTTTTCTTTAAAATTCTCTAATTCATTTAATGAATTTAATTAAAAAGTTAAAATTATACACGAAAAATTAATGAACACGGCATATCGATGTAATGAAGCACCAAAATTAAGTTTTAAACTCTAAGTATTTAAAGTTGTTCGCAAGCCTACTCATAAATCAAATTAACATGAAAGCTTTAGGTTTAGTAAAATGCTTGCACGAATATTTGCGTGTTAATATGCAATAATTAATCATGCTTCGTTCTCACAAATGTACCACACGTAACCCCGAAAAATATTTCATTCAACTTAGAACACAGCTTTGAAGTTACTGCTTTATACCGCTTACGATGAATTTAATGCGTGACGTTTGAAGAAAGTAAAACATATTTATGTGGTCGCTTTCATTGTTTAATAGTTGACGAGTAAAATAAAGTTTTGTGTCTTATAGAAAAGAATAAAGTTGTCAAAATGTTGTCAAGGAATGAGAAATTTTTGGGGAGTTTGAGAGCTCAATATTGTAATAATGTCATAAAATTTTAGTTGAAATTTCAGATTAATTAATGATTTTTTTTTTCATTGATGGTTTGTTATATGCTTTTTTAAATAAGAATATTTTAAAAATGAAAGTAAACATTTGTAAAAAATCTAATAAATAATTTTGTAAATCGAGTAATTAAAAATAATTTTTTCTTTATATGTTATGTATTGTTTTGTCTGAAACGTATTTTGCTTTTCCTTGATGAATAAACCTTTTTTCGTAAAGAAATTCTGCATATAAATTAATGAAAAAAAATTAATTTTATACTATATTAATTTTATGTGAATAATTTAAAATTATAAAACGATCTTAATTATCCAAAATTTGGGTGCAAACTTTTATGTTTTCAAAATATATAATCTAATTATTATATTAATTATTATCATCTATATAACCATCTAAAATTATAGTTAAATGCTGGTTACATGTAAATTAACTTTTAAAGTGAACATTAATTAAAAGGTATAAGATAATTACAATAATAAAAATTTGATTTCTTTTTGTATAAAGAAGCATAATTTATGAATTTGTAATACATTTTCGGGAAATAAATTTTTTTTTCGATTCCCAGGAGCATGACTTAGTTTTTTCTGCTCAGTAAAAGCTCCTGAACACGTAATAAACACTGAATTCTATATTTGATATCAATTTAATGTTTTGATTATATTATGTGGAAAAGTAGCCCCGATTAATGCTTCACTCTTTCCTTTTATAATGCCAGTACGTTTAAAAATATATTTCATGAATATTTTTCATAGTTTTAAGATTTTAATTTTAAAAATACTAGCTCTTGAGCTATAAAAAATTTCTTGTAATGAATATTAATTTCAGTCATAATTATTAGTACAGTAATGTTACACAAAAATGAAAATTTTTAAATTCAAAGCAAAAAAAAAGGGAAATAAACAAATGAATTATGAGTAATCTTTTCCAATATATTTTTTAATATTTGGCCCCTTAAGTACTTAGCCTTTTATTGCTATTAATAAAACACTTTCCTTCAATTAAGACAAATTACTTAATTTTTTTTTATAATTTAATTTAAAATAATATACTCATTATTTTTTTAGCAATATCATTTACATTATAGGTGCTTATCGCAGTTATAGTCCAATGTAAATCAAAATACGAAATGGACTTTAAACTAGAAAAAAACCCAGTTGTAATTAAGTTTTCATAACTAAGAAATTTGATAGAATTAAGATTTATGTAATAAAGTTAAAGAAATGGAATTTATTAAAGTAATAGAATTAAATTTTTTTTTAAAAAAAGGATTATGTTTAATTTTCCACAGAAGTATGAATCATTTTTTCATTTCGAAAGAATAAATTAAAAAAAAGAGATATTTTGAACTCTGAATGTTAATTTATGGCCATTCAACTATTTCAGGCCATTCAAAAATTTCCTTTGATTGATGCCAGCACTTTTGAATTTTAATTTTCTCAAGATTCCATTCTACCTTTGATTTTAAATTTAATATTTCCGACCTTTTTGATACTTTTAGCCTAATTATAAAAAGGGTATAGTTAATATTTTTCATGTAAAATTTTAATATTTTTCATTTCAATATTTTTAATATTTGTTTAAATAAATTTCAAATATCTAAAATGTTTCTTATTATCAGCGATCGACTTAAAAATCTTAAGACATTGTGGTATCCAGAGGCATAATAGAACAGCATAAAAATGTTTTTAGAAGAAAAATCTTAATAAACATTAACTGCATAATAGATTAATAAATAAAAATAAAACAATTTGTGTTTATGTCTTCATTTTAGAAAATAATAAAAATTTTAATAAAATCTCAAAACGTTTTTTTAACTAATTAAAATAAAAAAAAACTTTTATGGAAATGTTTTGACATTATTTTATCGTACTACCTGCTTACATTCTGTTAGCCAACTAATTGTACATCTTTTTTATTCTTTCGAATAAATTTTCTTCCATGCTTTACAAATTTTATTCTTAAAACCGTTTTTTAAAAATTGCGTTTCATGCGTTTTGTTCCTCATAGTGTTTTTATAATTAAGATACATAATTTTGAATAATTACGATAATATTTTACTGTTTTATTAGGATACACTAGGTAAATACATTTTCTGAATAGATACAATGCATTTTTAAAGTAAACAACAGACTCATATTTATGATAGATTAAAAAAAAATATTATGAGAACATGATTTTTTTAATCCCTGTTATTGCTGCTGTATTTTTCTCATGAATTACATAGTTTTGAAAATGTAACACATTTTGCCTTTTTCAGGACGTAGACACTTTTTCTATATTCTCTAATATTGTTTTTGTACATTGTCAAATATTTAACACGAAGTCTTAATACTATTTTAAAGTTCACGAAGCAGATTCCACAGTAAGAAGATCCCTTAACTTGTCGCATCTGAAATATTACAATATATTCCATAGTTTGCGCAACCTATATCATGCTAAGTAGGTTTAAATGGAACTTTAATGAGTCTTTAATGATACTTCAAGACCTCAAGTATTTTCTGAAAAAATAAACTATTACCTTTCAATCCATTTTGTAAACGTATTTTAAAGTTATAGTAGCAATGATGCCATATCTAAACATATCAAGCATTATAACTTAAATATATTATTGTAATATTCTAAACTGTTTTTTTAAACTGAAACAAAAAGATATAGGGAGGACATAAGTTAAAAAGAAAATGGTATTGTGATATGAAATATATTTTCCACATAATATATTTTCCTAAGTCCTCGTATCCGTTGCAACAGATATTTATGCAAATTTTCCACAAGAGGGATATTTTATTTCAGGCAATTCTTTGCTTATAAACATTCACATGGCAATATTTTGCGTAAAGCTGCAATATTTTTGCCCTATAAAGCCTTAATGTTTGAAACCTGTGGAAAACAATCAACTGAAGAAAGTAGATTAAAAAGAAATTTCTATTTTTACAATATTAATATTAGTCCGCCTTGTATTTTAATGCATATCGAAAATTCATAGATATGTTCAGTGAAATTATTTTACAACGCATTTCATTCGAAAGGTAAGA